CCTCTTCTTCCTCCTCCTCCTCCTCCTCCTCCTCCTCCTCCTCCTACTCCTCCTCCTCTTCCGTCTCCTCGCCTCCCTTCCGCCCGAGGGCCCCTGAGCCGCTGCCGTCGATTAGAAAAATCGCCGCGGCGTCAACCCCGTGCAGTCGGAGCTTGCAAGCGCCCTCGGGGGCTGTGGGGTGCCAGACATCCTGGACCCCACCGCGCCCGCCCTCGCGGGCCCCTCCTCGGCGACGCGGGCCACCTTGCCGCGCCGGGGGGCGCCCTCTCAAGCCTTGAGCCCGCCTTCGCCTTGGCCTCGGGCGCCCTCCTCTACGCGCTTCGCGTGCACCTTGGCCTTGAACTCCTCGGAGAAGCTCGTCTCGGGGCCCTGCCCGGGGGCTTCGCCATGGCCGCGCCCCAGCCCAGGTGCTCGGGCGAAGCCTCGCCGTCAGCGGTTTTCCCGGGAACTGGCCCGAATACTTGGGCGCCCACCTGCTATTGCGCATTGTTGCGCGACACAACTTGGGTCGGTTCTCGAGAGCGTCCTGGAACTAGGTTTCCTTGATCCGCTCCTCGGGCGCCCTTAGCATGTCCTTCTGCTCCTCGGCGTGCTCGAGGTCCAGGTTGCGGGGCTCCAGGAGGCAGGGCGTCTCGTCCTGCTGGTAGTCTTCGGGCAAGTCCTCGAGGCAGAAGCAGTCTCCGTCCGGGGCGCTCCAGTCGGGCGCGGGGGGCGCGTTCTCGGGCCAATGCTGGGTGCGCCCCAGGCGCTCGCTCGCCAGCCTCGGCTCGATGACGCGGCAGGGCTCGACGGGGCATATCCAGGCCCGTGACGACCACGAACTCGCCCTGCTCGGTCGGCCGGTTCGATTGCAGCCGTTGGCGCGGCGCCGCCTCCTTGTGTTTCTCGCGCATGCGAGTGGACGCCTCGGAGATGCAATAGAGGCGCTCGCAAGGCCCGGTTGCTGGGGCACTAGCACTTCTTCTCGGGTGACCCCCCGGATCCTCGGGCGCACTTCTTCTCGGGCGACCTCGCCGACGCTCCATCCTCGATCCTCGCATCGAGGGCCCGAGATCCTCGAGTCCAAGATCGATGATCCTCGAAACTAGGACCCCAGGTGCTCGAGAACCCTCGGTTCCAAGATCGGGGGCCACCGATCCGAATATCGAGAGTCGAGGCGCGCTCGGTGATTTTTCTCGGCGGGGGGCGCGGTTTGAAAAGCGCGCCTCGCTGGGGGCGCCCCCGAAAAAAGCTACCGAAAATTAGTCGCCTCGCTGGCGCGCGTCTTGCTGGCGCGCCGGCGCGCTCGCGCGCGCCTCGATCGGGCCCGAGCGGGCGCCTCGAGGCGCTCGAGCGGCGCCCTCGCAGCAAGAAGCTCTGGCTCGGAAACGCTTGGCTCGGGGCGCTCGCGCGCCAAGTGCTCGCCCAGCCAGGCCTCGCGCGGCCGCCGCCCGCCGCCCCGGCGCCCTTCGCAGTCGACCCCGTCGGCCCCCGGCTCGCCCTCCGCCTCAGCCCCGCTCTTCTGATTCTGGGCCGCGCACTTGGCGAGCAGCTCGGCGCGCCGCGCGTGGACCTCGTCGTTCTGGGAAGTGCATCTCGGCGTGGGCCTCGAGAAATGCCCGCTCGTTCTCGGCGCGCTTCTCGCTCTCTGCCTCGTCAAACTTGAGGCGCCCGCTCTTGAAGTTTGTCTGGCCGAGCTCGCGCGACGCGTCGGCGGTCGACTCGACGCGGCAGCGCCGCTTGACGGCGCGCTCGGTTGTCGCCAGGGCCTCGTCCGAGCTCGACGCCGCGCGGTTCGGCGCCACTGAGCGCGCTGCTTGATGACCAGCTCGGGGATGTGCTCGAAGGGGGGCGGCCGAGGCGGAAGCGCCCTCGTCGGGGGTCTCCTCGGCGGGCCACAAACTCCTGTCGAGCGGCAGCGGCGGCGCCAGCTCGCGGAGGCACAGGAGGCCTGCCAGGATCACGGGGAGGGCCTTGCTGATGCGCACGACGTAGGAGCCAAAACTGAGGCGGCCGACTCTGCCCGCGCCGAACTCGATGTCCTTGACCCTGGCACGAGCGAGCATCTCCGAGAGGGGGCCCGGCATGAGTCAGATGAAGTCATCGCGTGCCTCGCCGCGGCCCTCGAAGATGTCGCGCAAGTACTCGACGCTCTCGACGTACGTCTTGTAGTAAAGGGCAACTGCCAGCTCGGCGCGCCTTCATGTCTTTCCCGCTGATGATGCCCGCATGCTCGATCACGCTGAGGTGTCCGCCTTTGCGCGCCACCTCGGGAATGGCCTGCTGCGCGATCAAGGGCCTCGGCGCGCTCTCGGCGTTGAAGAAGCCCGCCGTCGTCCTCGCGGCGTCGGTCCCTGGGGGTTTGGCTTGGCGCTGCCGCATCTCGGCGACGCTCGCCGTGTTGGCGGTAAATTGAGTTCCTCGACAGCCTTCTGGTTCTGGGCGGCGACATGCTCGTTCTGCTTGGCGATCTGCGACAAGACCTTGAGGGGCTGCTCCTCGATGGGTTTGGAGGCGACCGTGCTTGCGGCGGGCGGCTCGGCGGGTCGGGGGAGGCTCGCGGCCCCGGGAAAGACTCGCAGGTTCCGCGGCTCGGGAGGGCCGGAGCCAACGCGGCCGCGAAAAAGAAGGAAGGGGGAGGGAAGGGGGAGAGGGGGGGGAGGGGGGGGCGCAGGAGCAG